TTATGCCCACTTCCTTTACTACCCACTTAGCTTGGGCACATACATACAAATGGAGATATACATACATATATATCTTGCAGTTAAGGTGTGAATGCGAATACTCGCGTCGATAATCGTGTTCATTAATTTTTGCATATTTTCAAGTACCCCAACGAATTGCTGTCATTGGAAATTGTTGTCAATATAAGAAATACAAACTAGACGATAAACAACAAGAACAAAGTGTCATTTTCAATAACCATTCATTAATCTTTGGCAAGCAGACAAAATGCCAAAGGCAAACTCAAAAAGTGTGGCAAAACAAAAAACAAAAAAAAAAATACCGAAGAGGCAACTTGCCACCTGCCATAGAGCCGCTCTAGAATGTATTTGTATGTGTATGTATTGCAGTTGTGGCAAACGTGAGCTATCAGCATCTCGCGCCCGCTGTGTCGCTGTCAGTGTCAAATTGTCACATGGAAAAATAATTTGCAGTGGCTGGGGTAATGGTAGTGTAAGAGGGAAGAAAAAAGAAAGAGTGGGGTCGGAGGAAGAGGTGGTATTATGGCAGATGGGAGGAAGTAATGAAGATGAGCAGTTGTGTTAAGGGAAATGGCTATGTAGTTGCGTAAGGAAGGTACATATGTAGTGAATATATGTATGTATGTGATGTCCATATATGTCTTGTATGCATGTGTGTGGGTTTATAAGTATATTTGCAGCACGATCGCCGCAGTTGGCTAAGTGGCGGATGCACTGTAATAGTTCGTCGCAGATTTTACAAAAAAATGTTCAAATCAAATTGAAATACAACAGAAACAATAAATCAATACATGTGTGCCATGAAAATGGTTGCTTTCGACAATTTTATATGTTTTTTCCCCTTGTTTTTATAGCAACTTCCTTTTGCTCACAACTGCTTTGCTTGTGCCACGCCACGGCGTTGCACTCTCATGGAAAAGTGTGCGAAAAAATGCAAGCATTTCGTTGCGACTTGTCGGCGTTAATATGCAAAGAATATGTCGCCGCTGCACATGGCCGTGGGCGTGGCTACAATGCATGCATTATTTATTTGTGTGAATTGCAAATCGCTAATCGGCACAATATGTCAGGCAACGCCGCACTGACTTGAAAGACAATGTAATATTTTTTGACAATTTTTGCAATTTAATTGAATTTCTTGGTGCATGCCACTCAAATTTTTTTGTTTTAAATATTTTGTAACGCCTTATTGGATACTTGGACGCATTGTAGTTTGAAACAGTGCGACTAACATATATGTAACCAAACCATTTTAGACTAAAAATACTAATTTAAAACAATTTATAATTTGTAAGAATTTATGATGCTTTTTCATTTTACTATTTAGCAACTAAAAATATATTGGAAAGAAACCCAACTTAAAGTTTACTATGTGTTATTTATCGTATTTATATAAAGTTTTCATTTAAATATACGATTTATCCATATTTAAAAAAAAAAATATTAGCAACTTTTATTGAAAAGATAACAAAACCGTGATAAACAAATGGGTTATAGTTAAATAGCTTTTAAAAAATTTGACTAAGTTATCTGTATAAACAAAAAACAGTTTTTAGGAAGATAAGTTAACTATTACAAATAAATAAGTTTAGTTAAAAAATTCGACGATGAAAATTATCGACTTGTTCTTTATCAATCCTTGATATGATAAAAATATTATTTTTACTTTTATCATAAGAATATATAAAAATATGTAAAACAAAAATATTTTTACTTGGTAAGTTTAAAAAAATATATATATTAACAAAAAGGTCTATAAAAGAAAATTAAAGTCATAATTTAATTTAATATTTTAACATATTATTACAATTTTTTTAAGTAATTTTTCAACTTTTTATTTATACTAAAGAGTGTACTTCTTTAGAAATAAATTACAAATATCGGAATCAATTTTGTATGATCCATACTAATTGCAAACTAATAAAACTAAAATAGAAACCTCAGAAAATAGGTAGAAAAACCAGAAATTTTCAACTCAATTTTTAATTTTCTTTGGCAGATTTTGATATTTTTTAGCATACAAAACGCCTCGCGCTCATTTATCTTTTGCAGCCGTGAATAATTGTTAATTACCACCTCTTTGGATTTTGAATGCATGCGTACCCCTGGTGCTTTAAATGTATGTGTCCGTATTTGTCTGTTACATATTTTGTGCCCACTGCCGTCACCTAAACTATTTAACTTGACAACAATTGCTTGAGGCATAAATGAAAATGTCAGTAAATGCCAATTACTAGCGACAGCGACACCAAATTTGCGATAAAAATGTCAAATTAATGCAGAGCAAAACAATTACAAATAAAACCAACAAAAACCTTAACTTCGGTTGTACTGAAGCTATAATACCCTTCACAGACGTAATGGGTTATAAAAAGATCGTTATCTTGTTTTTAATCGAGCAGTTTATGTGGCAGTTATATACTATAATGGTTCAATCTGAAGAATATGCTTAGATATTATAGCGATGCTTTAGATATTACCATAATATGTGTCAAATTTTGCAATGATGTCTGGTTAGATAAAAAAGTTTTCCATACAAGTACCTTATTCCGTTCGTTCAGTTTGTATGGCAGCTATATAACATAGTTGCCCGAAATCGGCGGTTCCGACATGTGAGCTGCTTTTTATTGAGAAAACGACGTGTGATCATTTATGTATTATATATACTTTATAGGTTCCCCGATGTTTCCCACTGGGTGTTACAAACATCGTGGCAAACTTAATTAACTCTACTCAGGGTATAAAAATATTCAAATGCAATTTTAAAAAATAAAGCATGGAAAAAATCAAGTTTTTCCTCAAACTAGGTTTACCAAATATCCTAAGTCCGCTCATATTGCAAAAGCCTTAATTTATCAGAAATTATCAAATTACACTGTGAAATAAATCCAAGTTCAAATGAGTGGGTTAACGTTATAATGTAGCAGAAAAATATATAAGGTACTCATGCATAATTGAAATGACTGAACGGAAACGTTTATGTATGTTTTATAATTCTTAGATAGCATATCCTATACTCACCAACGAATTTTAATGATTTTAGTGTCGCCGAATTAAGATAGCGTTCAAACGAACGAGAAACTGGCGAAAATAAAATAGTTGTTTTGAACTGAGAAATTTTATAAGATTTAACTTGAGGATATCAAGTTTTGAACCCACCTCAATTGTTATGTTATTGTTCATAGAGAGAGAGTAGGTAAAATGTAAAGGATTTGGATACACCAAATTGATGGATTTTCCAATATACCATTTAAGCTGTTCGTGGGGTTAAACATACCTATATCATCGTAGATAATTCTGGGTTTTCATAAAAACAGTAAATTTGTTTAACTCTTTAGTTAAACTCAATAAGAACAAGATAAAACTTTAACTTGGGCCGCACCGAAGCTATAAACCCTTCACAAATACAAAATATTCTACACAAAAACTGGATTTTGATCGATCAGATTGTATGAAACCTATATTTGACAATATCTCAAATACTGAAAGACTAGTTCGCGTATATATAGACAGACGGAGATGGCTAAATCGACTCGTAATGCTGATATTTTATGGTACATATGATGTTTCTTTCTGGGTGTTATAACCTTCGTGGAAAAGTTGATATACCCTGTTCCGGGTAAAAAAATATATCTTACATATAAATATATATCGATCCATTTCAAACAGGTTTTGAATGTATATCAATGAAATATTTATTTAAAAATACTCACAGTACTCTGGAAAACTTACTACAAAGAAAATAGAATATTGCTTTTTTATAGACTCACTCGTATATAATGCTCTACATCCATAAAGACTTCAAAGCACTCCGAAAGTAATTGGGAACACCCAGAAAATGCTTTGTAACGAAAAAAAAACCACACCTGAAGTGCAGAAGTTTTATACGAAATATGTTGATGCCTATTTTGTAAGCTCAAACTAACTTGAATTGGATTAAGATGGTTTTAGTTTTTTTTTTAATTTAATATTTTTCTTAATTAAGGTCAGCTAATATAATACTAGTCAAAAGTCTCTTCTCGTTTGATAATCAGATCCCGGGAATCTGCAAAATTATAAGTATTTATACAACGATTGTAGTGTCACCCCAGTTACTTTGGGTGATTCGATAAAAGCTAGACGGTCTACACTGTATATTTTGGTTTACCTTGGGTAGAATGTATTTAAATTCTTGAAGTTATATTGAATCATTTTGAAGTAGCAATTTTCTATTGGTTTATAGAAAATTGTCTCTAATAGAGATGTAATTGATATATGGTATTGATATTATTCTCTTATTATGTAGATCTATATGTGATAGTCTAAAATATATAACGTTCAATGTGCTACAGTGATGAAAGAGTTATCGAAATGATTTTGTTTAAGATCAGGCTATAAACGGGAAAGCCTTGAGGTCATTACTAAATTTTTTTCTTTCAATAGGCGGTTTGAGTTAAATACAAGTATATATATTTATGGTGGATCTTAAGTGAAGTTGTTACTTGTTGAGAAGTATTGTTTAATGGAAGCCCGATATATTTATTAGTAGTTTTGAAATCTGTGTGAGAAATTTATGATATTCATTTTACGAAGCTTTTAGCAGTCTCAAGCGCATCTATTAAAGAAAGCGTAGTTTCAAGATTATCTTCGCCTAATATTAGTTTGTCCATCAAAAAACCGTTGAAAGTGTTTTGAAAGGCACGGTAAAGAGGCTATTTTTCTCACTTAGATCAGTGATGGCTACAAGTGGAACTATTGCAGAATGTTATTTAATCCAAAAGTCACTTTATGAGGTCTTTTATTATAAGCAAACCATTTCAAAGTATGTCTTTATGAAAAACCCGTAAGTTTTAAATAAGAATGTGTTAAACATTGAACTATGCTGGAGACGCCTACACGAGTACCCTTAACCCAAAATATTATGTAATGACTTATTTAAATCGATGTCATTTAGATATTAATATTTTTGTGCTTTAATTTTTCTCCTCTTATTATGACAGAATATGTATGAAACAACAACACAGCCTGATAATTAAATTCCAGAACGCTGCTTAGGACCTCAAACAAATAACATTAACCCTTGCGGCGCAATTGCGACGCAAACATTGTGAAAACTTCGCGAAGACTCTCCACAGAAAGAAGACAACAGACCCTCTGGCACGCGTAATAATTCAATTTAGAAGTTGTAAGCAAAAAATTGATTACGAAAAAAACTCATTAAAGTCAACATGGGCATGCAACGCCACATTGCCACACACGTACATACTGCATGTAAATGAGGGGAATGAGGGAAAGCGCATAAAAATTTTAACTGAAAATGCAAAAGAACGAATAAAGTATGTAAAGAAAGTTGAAACAGACCAACAACAAAAACCAAAGACACAGCTTGTGACAAGCCGATGCGGGCAAAACAAAGCGATAGCAAGGGGCACAAGCGGGTATAAACGGGTGAAAGCGTGCGAAGTGGGGGCAATGAGTGAGAGTTAATAACAAGTCAATTAAAAGATGTTAAGCATGATTTATGAATTTTTGTGGAAAAATTGAGCGAGGTAGGGGGTTGACTGAGGCATGTTAGTTGAAAAGGGTGCAAAAAACAGCAAAAATAACGGCGAATACCATGCAGCAAAAAAGCGCAAGTAAAAAATATATGAAAATTGTAAAAGTGAGCGGTGAGCGATGAGCGTGGAAGAAGCAATCAAATGATGGTACACGCTTAATGCCTCGTGTATGTGAAAAGGATATGCTTATCAAAACCAGCTGAGCGCACGGAGGTAAAATAAAATAAATAAATGAATAATGTTTAATAAAAGGTAGATGAAGATATGATATGTGTGAGGCGAAAGTAGGAGGTCATAAGTATGCGTGCAACATATGTGGTTAACATTAAATATTTGCCACAACAAAAACAAACAGAAACCATAAACAATTCAACAACAGAGAAGGTGCTTCCAGGGACCAAGGCCACCTTTCGAAGCACCCTCTTTATCTCTCACTCATCCCCAGGCACAAACGGATGGGTTGGTAATGATTAATCAGCAAAAAAATACCCAGGCACAATGCAGCTGAGCCCTCACGAGAAATTATTAGACATTTTACAGCATTAAAATATGCTCACAAATACAAACACACAAGCACAAATGTAGATATCTATAAAAAAAAACAACAACAAAAGAGCGTAAGATAAATTTAAGCAGGGGTTGATAAGCAAAAGGCACATAAAACAAGGCTTAATTGTGTAAAGGTGTTTGTGGTTGAAAAAGAAATAAAAAATAAAAAAGTTGATTGAGATACAAAATGTATGAATTTATTTTAACCAAAATTCAATGCTTAAATGCTAATAAACGCACAATACCCGCTAGTCATACACAGTGACACCATCTCTGGTGAAAACACCAAAAAATAGCAAAGCCAATAACTTGCAACCCTCCAGAACTAAGGTTCCACCTTTCTGCGATTCAATTTACGGCAAGTCACGGTGAATTTTGGCTTCGATGCAGGCACTTATCAACTTGCTATTGCGATGGCGCTACGTCATTTATGTGCGAAAGCAAATATGACTAAGCATTGCCATTGAAATGGCAATAAAAAGTATTTAAAGAGCAAAAAGCAAGTAAAATGTTGCAGTGATGAGGCAAGATTTTTATCAGGTTTCAAAAAATAATTTATTATCTTTCTATTATGTGAATTTAGACAGCTATAAGGTATATGAAAAAAATATATTACAATTTATTTTTGTGATTTTTGAACAGATACATTTTATAGGAGAATCTTTTCTCATGCGCAGAAAGATAGGACGTGCTTACCGTGAAACTGCTATGGAGAAGGAGTGGTTCATAAAAAAAAAAAGATTTCACTACGAGCCACTTGAAGCGGGTTTTTAAAATTCCACTGAATTATTTGATTGTGTCAACCCTATTACAAAATTTTACTAAACTTTTGGTCACTTTACCAAGGAATTTTAGACTGATTCCATCATTGTCTCACTGCTACAAATTGATTTTGGTGTTTGGTTGCCTCCTACGTATGTACCATAAATGCGAAACAAAGTGGTAAATAAATAGGCTTAACGGCAGATGGCACTTTTGTCATATTTCATATTCCTTATGGAAGTACTATATTATATGGAGAAGTCGAAGAAAAGATTAATATAACGCCACTCGCCATCAAGTTCACAATAACGAAATTAGTCAAGTGTTCAAGCGGACCAGGCTTTAAGGATGGCTTTAAAGACAAAAGTTTTCCTTATTTGTTCACTTGCTTACCTTTAAGGATTCTGTCACACAATATGCTATCTACAATAGTTAAGATGCAAAAGCAACACACAAACTAACGGTAAACGAATTCTACAAAAATCTGGAGCAAATTCATACGCTGACAGTCATATGCAAATAGAGCTTCTAAGAAATCTACCACTTCACGATAAAATGTTATGTATTTATTTTTAGTAAGTAGATGTTTGGGTCAGGGCAAATGCTAAGAAACCTCTTACAGAACACTTAAAATTTAAATGAAGACAAGTCACGGTGGGGTCGAGTGCTGAACTTTGGCTGCTAAGCAGCGGAAGACGTCGTCAGCTGAATGGAGGAAAACACATATGAAGATTTATATATATAAGTAATGTATATAAATATGTGCTATGATATATGTAAATATAGATCGTCCATATGTATGTATTTCCGCCAGCAGTCTGAGTGTTTATCTGTCTGCGGCGGCGTGGAATATGCTAAGCGTTGGCTGTTACTCGGGGTGTTTGGGCTGCTGGTGGGTAGAAGAGTTTACGAAAGGTTGCAGGCTGTTGGTACTCGAGTTAAGAGTAGCCACCTATGTGTTAATACATATGTATGACTGTGAGTATGAGTGTGCGTTTGTAGCACAGTGTTGGGAATGCAAGCGGTCGCCTGAAAGTAGTTCAAGTGTGGTGAAAGTAATTAGTGAACATTTTTTTCCATTGAAGTAGTCGCCGAGAAGGTGTAAATACATAACTATACGCATACATATATGTGTAAGTGTATATGAAAACTAAACAGTAGGCGTAACACTTGTAATGCAGCACATGCACTGTGTTGCATGCCACACAGAGATACGTATAAGCTGTTTACTTTACTAATTCTTCAATTGCTGTTGCACGTTTTGCTTTGACTCTTCAAGTTGGCGTTTTTGTTGCACGCGTGTGACTTTGCTACCGCTGTTGTTGTTTGTGCTTGCGTTTATTTTACTTTTTTTCAGATTGTTGTGGTTACTTGCCACTTGAACGCTGCTGTGGTGTTTTGCGTTTAAAAGCGCATAATTAGTTGGCTGCCTGTTGGTGGCAACAAAAACAAACAAAAGGCAGCGCCATTTGTGGCACGATTAACGGTCTATTTGTGGCGTAAATAGATCAAAGTGAATCGAATGTTTTTTCGCTGACTTCAAATTGCGGTTAATTCAAAAATTATTTAACTCACTATTTCCACGCTGTAAATAAACAAACTCGTAATGGATATTGAAACTCGATTTGTTTTCGTTTCATGGTATACAAGTAAACAGGATTGACTTTATGGAATTATTTTTCATATATAATATATATTTCATCAGACGAAGCATATTTTCTCAACCCCAACTATGGATGATATCACAACAAAAAAGTACTTGTCACTTGCCAGTTGTCAGCAATAATCACTTTCGAAAGTTATTCTATAGCGTTTAAAAATAATGCTAACTGTCAAATCAACTTTTCTCTCTAATTAACAGTAACTACAAGAGTAGACGGCATTTGGACCCGTTTTTCACTGGGGTCTATTACGAATTGTAATATACTTAGATTATAACGTAATATTTATATTCTGTGCAGCTTTTTATGGGGCCCGGTGGCAAGGCGCTCTTCTTGAATATTTGCCTTTAGTAAATCTCATGAGATAATAATGCTCGCCTATCTAATCTCCATTCAGAATATGTATTTATCCTTGATTTATTGCGCTTTGAAATCGCTCTTTAAATTGATATCGGACCACTATTATATTATAATATATAGCTGCCATAACTGAATGATCGAAACCAAGTTCTTGTATGGAAACTTCTTTACTTGGGTTTCCCAGCTTTGGTACAACCGAAGTTGACGTGCTATCTTGTGTAAGTATATATTATTTAAACCTACTGCTTATCAACCCCCTGAGATCCGCTTTTTGCGTCCGCACAGTTTTAACATACACATATACCATGTACATCGTATACATATATATACACCATTTGCTTATCAACAAATGTAACTGCCACAAAAATTACGTGTGTTGCATGCAAATTCGTCACAAATACCCGCAGCACATAAACAAAAAAACTTAAACCTAAGCCGCCTATAATTTAGTTAAAACCATGCCCGCATCGTGATCAGTGACGCGCACGCCAATGCAACAAAATATTGATATGTCAAAAACCCACAACCCTGACAACGGCTGTCAAGCAGCGTAGCGAAATGGCGAGTTTTTTCTTAACCCGACAAATACGTGCAAACAAATATTCAAATGGGTGTATATATGTATGTGCCATCCCATTGTTGAACGGGCTACACCTCACATTGTCATATTCGTATTGTATTATTATTAGTCCTTTAATAAATAACTTCAAACATTTGCCATAAATGCATTAATGCCGCTAATATACTTATTAGACGGCTTTTACATTGGGACTCTTTTGACCCTAATTTTTTTCAAATTCTCTCTTGGTGTCGCTCTATGCATTCACACGGGCAAAACGAGTCCAGTTTTTCTGCATTTCTTTTCACAAAATTTTCGTAAATATTTGTGCGGTTCGACTGCGCAACACTTAGAGCGTGTTGCATTTCATTTGTATGTTGAGATGTTGGTCACACATTTTACTTGCAATGAATTACCATGACTATGGTAGAACAATATGCATAATATCTACCCGCTTAATAGTTTCAAAGAAATACTTAAGACGGGAATTCTCTAATCCACCAGAATGTATTGAATACCCTGAAAAATTCATAATTTCTTTACTCCATAATCTATATCTTAATTTTCTCCTAATTTAAAATTTTTAAAATATTTCTATTATTCTATGCATACATATTTGCATATTACATACAAAAAATAGATAACAGAATTCAAATTTGTAAACGAATTCATTTGAAACCGAGCGCTCT